TGGTGTCTGGGAATAAATATGAAGGAGAGAGCCAGGTGTGTTGTTGCGTGCCTATAGTCCCAACACTTGGGGAGGCAGAGGTAAACAGATCTCTGTGAGTTCAAGGCCAGCCTGGTCTACAAATGGAGTGCAGGACAGCCAGAGCTATACTGAGAAACCCTGTCCAAAAAATAAAGAAAATAAAGAAAAAAAAAGTGAGGGAGAAGTAAAGGCAAGAGTTAGGAGAGGCATAGTATCAGGAGAACTCAGAATGAGAATATGTCCAAATCAAAGTCCATTAGAATTTCTTTTTTTTTTCCTTGTCCATTCTTGTTTTTGAGACAGGGTTTCTTTGTGTAGCCTTAGCTGTCCTGAACTTGAATTGTAGACTAGGCTGGCCTTGAACTCACAGAAAGATACCTGCCTCTGCATCCCAAAGTGCTGGGATTGCAGGGGTGTGCCACTGCAACAAGCTGATTATGAGTGTTTAATAATATATATTGTATTGTTTTTCCTGACCTCCCTGAAATCAAAACCTATGGAGTTGGACTTCCCACTCCATGTATTTATTTTTACTTATTTGATTTTTTGAGACAGGATTTCTCTGTGTAGCCCTGGTTGTCCTGGACTCATAAACCAGGCTGGCTTTGAACTCACAGAGATCTGCCTGCCTCTGCCTCCCAAATGCAGGGATTACAGGGGTGCACCAGCACACCCGGCTCCATTAGAATTTCTTGATTTAGCTTACAAGAACTTCCATCTACTGGGCTCCTCCTTGTTTTTCCACCCAGGCGGTAGTCAACAGTGATATACCCAGGATCTATGAGTTCTGGAAATCCAACTCAGGTATGTTGGAAGAGCAGCCAAACACAAAGCGCATATATATATGCAGTGTGTATGTATAATTGTATATATGGGTGCTTTGCTTGCATTTATGTCCATGTGCCACATGTATGTAGAGCCCTCAGAGGTTAGAAGAGGGCATCAGATGGCTGGAGAATGGAATTACAGTTGTGAGTAGTGGGTAGTGGGACCTGAGCCCTCCAGAAGAGAAGCCAATGCTATTAGCCATTAAACCACCTCTCCAGCCACCGTACATATTTTTTGTTTGTTTGAAGCAGGGTGGCCTCAAAACTCAGAGGTCTGCCTGCCTCTGTTTCCAGAGTATAAGACCAATGCCACCAAGCTTGGCTTTCCACTTCATATTCTTCATTATTTGAGGGTTTCTCTCCTGACGAGGAGTTCCTCACTTTCTCTTGATGGTAGATAGTGGGCCCCTGAGTCCCTGGGATCCTCCCCCTACCCCTCCCACCTCCCACTGCTGGGATTAGAGGCACACTGGTCTGCTCAGATTTTGCCATGCTGGGGATCTGAAATCAGGTCCTCATGCCTACCCACCAAGCACTTTACCCACTGTCATGTCTCCATACTCCGTTTTAAAGGTTTTTTGTTTTTTTGGTTTTTTTTTAGATTTTAATGTGTGGGGGTGCTTTTCTTGTATGTCTGTGAACAACTTTGCATGACTGGTGCCAGAAGAGGTCATTGGGTGCCCTGGAACTGGAGTTACAGGCAGCTGGGAGATTCCTTGGTGCTGGGACTGAAACTTGTTCTTTCTGGAAGAGGGGCCAATGCTCTTAACTGATGAGTCATTTCTCCAGCCCAACAACCCGTTTTTTTTGAAACAGGGTCTCATGAAGTCCAGCTTGCCTTGGCCTTGCTATATAACAGGCTGGCCTTGAACTCTGATTCCACTTCCCAAATGCTGGGACTGTAGCTTGTGGCATCACACCCAGCCTCCCTGATATTTTTTTCTTCTGAGACAAGTTCTCACTGTGTAGTCATGGTTGGCTAGATGTCTCACTGTGGAGCAGGGCAGCCTGGAACTTGTGACAATCCCTCTGCTTCCTGTGCTGGAGACACCATGTGCAACCACTCCTGCTATTTTTTTTTTAAGATAAGTAAGCCTTTATTTCCATGTTTTTCAAAGTCAACTGGTTCAAATGATTGCTTTGAGAGGTGATTAGTCAAAGAGACCAACTCACATATCCTCATCTGAAAGGAAGGAAGGAAGGAAGGAACGAACGAACGAACATGGTACTGAGGGGATAAGGCCCCAAGGCTGTTAATTAGGGTCCTAGGTGGGGCCAAGTGGGTATACTTAGGACAAAAGGCTTAGGAGAGGTGCAACGTTAGGCTATCCTAGTGCATTTCACATATGCAGCAGTTCTCAGCCTTCTTAATGCTGGGAAACTTTAATACAGTTCCTCATGTGTGGTAGTCCCCAAGCATAAAATTATTTCGTTGCTACCTCATAACTTTTTCTACTGCTATGGATTGTAAGGTAAATATTTTCGGAGATAAGAGTTTTCCCAAGGGTCGTGACCCACATGTTGAGGACCACTGCCTTATGGTTTCTGTAGAGGCAAAATGTTCTGTAGAATGTTTGTGGGGTTGGAGGCTCAAACCTGTGATTGTAACACTTAGGAAGCTGCAGCAGAATGATTGTCATGATTTTGAGACACCCCCACAGCTTCTCAATATTAACAAGTATGTAAATTATAGATAGATAATTAAATAGAGGATCACTAAAAGAAGTAGCACTGAGTAGCAGCCAGGAAGTGCAGGAAGCCCTTAGATTGTCTTTAACTCTTTAAAAATATTTGTGAGCCAAAGTCTTATTCTGTATCTATGGCTGATTACCCATTATGTAGACCAGGCTAACCTGGAACTCACAGATAGCTACCCTGCCCTGTCTCTAGAGTGCTGAAATTAAAGGCATGGGCCATCATGCCCAGTTTTTTGTTTTGTTTTTGTTTTTTGCCTTAAAAAATTCTCTCAAGGAGAAGATGTGACACTTCAATTTAAGCAAACACTTCCTAGTGTGAAACCTCTTTCATTCTGCACAGTAAGCCATGAAATCATCGGGCTACACCAGCCTGGGGTGCCTGTTCATCAGCTTAATTACTTAAAACATTTTTGTTGCTGTTGTTTGTTTGAAACAAGGCTGCATTATATATCCTTGGCTGGCTTGGAACTCACTAAGTAGACAAAGTGGCCTTGAACATCCAGAGTTGACACACCCTCTTTAACTGAAGGACTCCATGCACTGTGTGCGCAGACATATTTGCAAACAAAACACTCATACACAAAACAAATATACCTCAAAGGGTAGTCGTAAAAATAAAAACTAATGGCTGGAGAGATTTCTCAGTGGTTAAGAGCACTGGCTGCTCTTTCAGACGTCCTGAGTTCAATTCCCAGCAACCACATGATGGCTCACAACCATCTATAATGTGACCTGATGCCCACTTCTGTCATGCAGGCATACACGCAAATAAAGTGCTCATACATATAAATAAATAAATCTTTTTATCTAAAAAAATATATATAATAAAAACTAGGCCATGAGAAGACTCCTCTTTTCTGAGAAGGGGAGGAGGTGAAGTGAGAGGGACAGACTGGGAGGAGAGGGTGGATAGAAAGCTGCAACTGGGATGTAAAGTAAATAAGTTAATAACTAGACAGACAGACAAAAACCTAGTTTCATATACAACACTCTGCAGAGGCTTAAATGAAAACTTAAAAGCGCAATGAACAGAAGGAAACAGGGCATGATGGCTCACACCTGTAATCCTAGCATTCTGGGGGTGGAGGCAGGAAAACTGTTAGGAGTTCAAGCCCAGCCTGGACTATATAACATCAGATCATCCAAGATTACATGCCATGTGGTGGTCAGAGGACAACTTTCTACAGTAGGTTCTCCCTTCCCACCTGTGAACTCAGGTTGTTGGGCTTGGTGGCAAGTGCCATCACATGCTGAGCCATCTCATCTCACTGACCCCAAAGAAATCATTCTTTTTAAAAATTTATTTATTTATTTATTTGTTTATTTATTTATTTTACATCCAGATCATAGTCCCCTCTCTCCATTTCCTCTTTTTCCCTTCCCTTTCCCTACTCTTCAGAAACTGAGAACCCCTTCATCAACCCTCTCTAGCACATCAAGTAAATCTTTTTTTTCTTTTGGTGTTTTTGAGAGAGGGTTTCCCTGTGTATCCTTGGCTGTCCTGGACTCACTTTGTAGACCAGGCTGGTCTTGAACTCACAGAGATCTGCCTACCTCTGCCTCCCAAGTGCTGGGATTACAGGCATTTGCCACCATTGGCCAGCTCAAGAAATCCTTCTTAAAAGGGCTGGTGATATAAACAGTGGTAGAGAGTTTGTGTTAGCATAGGAGAGGAACTAATTTCAATATCCAGTCATATAAAACAGTTAAATCCAAGGACTGTCTCTGACATGAACTCAATGGCTGGCTCTTTGACCTCCCCCACCCCCGAGGGAGGAGCAGCCTTACTAGGCCACAGAGGAGAACATTGCAGCCAGTCCTGATGAGACATGATAAGCTAGGGTCAGATGGAAGGGGAGGAGAACCTCCCCTATCAATAGATTTAGAGAGGGGCAGGGAGGAGATGAGGGAGGGGGCTACAGCTGGGATACAAAGTAAATAAACTGTAACTAATATAAAAAATAAAAATTTAATTAAAAAAAAAAACAAAAAGTAAACACTTTCTTTATTTTTGGCTAAAAGCCAAAAAAATGTCTGGGCCTCTTGGAAGCTGTTTCCTTGGCTAAGACCAGATATGCCAAAGTGTTTTGGGAAGCCTGATATGGCTCCTAAACAATTCTAGAGTAACCCTTCCAGAGGGAGAATAGTAAAATAGTAAAGGCTTTTAAAGACAAAAGTTTAGTCAAGAACATAAAAAAAAAAATTAAAAATTAAAAGAAAAACAGTTAAATCAAATCAATTTTTCATTTATTAACATTTTTTTTTCAGATTTATTTTATGTGTATACACGAATGTTTTGTCTGCATGTACGCATGCCTGGTACATTCAGAGGTAAGAAGGGGATCAGATCTCCTTGCCCTGGGGTTACAGATGGTTGTGAGACATGTTATGGGTGCTGGGAAAGAACCCAGGTCCTCTGAAAGAGAGCAACAAGTACCCTTAAGTGCTGAGCCATCATTCAACCCCAAATTGTGTTTAAGACTTTTATGTTGTTGTTGTTTTCATGATAAGATTTCTCTGTGTTGCCTTGCTTGTCCTGGAACTCACTCTGTAGACCAGGCTGGCCTAGAACTCAGAGATCCACCTGCCTCTGCATCAAGTGCTGGGATTAAAGGGGTGAACAACTGCCACCCCACTAAGGTTTATTTTTATTTGTGTATATATGTGCATATGTGTGGGTTCCTGTTGAGGATAGAAGTGGATGTCAGATGGTTGTGAGCTACCTGATGTGGGTACCGGGAACTAAATGAACTCAGATCTTCTGAAAAATCATCTTAACTACTGAATCATGTCTCCAGCTTCTGTTTCCTTTGTTTTTCACATAGGGTCTTGCTGGCCTTGGTGGCACAGGCCTGTAATCCAAGCACATGAGAGTTAGAAGCAGAAGAGCAGGAGTTCAAGGTCCCCTGGCTATATAAAAATTTATGGACCAGCTGGATGGAGACATATTTATACATACACATGTGTATATATATATACACGTGTGTGTGAGAGAGACTCTCAGACTGTTGAATAGACTGATATACACAAATGTACACATATATCATTTTTAGAAATCATGATGATATTCAATCTTGTATAGTTAAGGAATTCCTGCAAAATAATTTTCAAAGGACAGCAATCCCATGATAAAAATGATCAGAGGAAGCTAGGTGGTGGTGGCGGCGGTGGCGGCGGTGGCGGCGGCTCACGCCTTTAATCCCAGCACTCAGGAGTTAGAGGAAGGTAGATCTCTGTGAGTTTGAAGCCAGTCTGGTCTACAGAGTGAGGTCCAAGACAGCCACATTTACACAGAAAAACCCTGTCTCAAAAAAAAAAAAAAAAGAAAAAAAAAGAAAGAAAGAAAAGAAAAAAATGGCTGGAGAGATGGCTCAGAGGTTATCAATTCCCAGCAACCACACGATGGCTCACAACCATCTACAGTGAGATTTGGTGCCCTCTTCTAGTTTACAGGCATACAAGCAGGCTGAACACTGTATACATAATAAACAAATAAATCTTTAAAAAAAATCATCAGAGGAAGCTAGGTGGTAGTGGCACATACCTTTAATCCCAGCAGAGGCAGGAAGATCTCCATGAGTTCAGAGACAGTCTACAGAGTGAGTTCCAGGTGAGCCAAGGCTACCTGTTTCAAAAGAACCAAAGACAAAGAAATAAAAACAGATGGTCAGAGAATGTGATCAGTCAGTGTCCTAGTTTCCTTTCCAGTTGCTAAGATAAAAAACTGGACAAAGGGAACTTGCATTTACAGGTTGTATTCCACGTAGCAGAGAGGTCAAGGCAGCTGGAACTTGGTAGGCTTATCAACAGTCAAAAGCAGAAAGAGAAAGAATACTCCCTATTAATGATACAATGTATTAATGCCAGTGCTGGGGGGGGGGGGCGTTCTTTGTTTCTTTGTTTCCTTCCTTCCTTCCTTCCTTCCTTCCTTCCTTCCTTCCTTCCTTC